TTAAATTTATTGTCTAAATTATGTACGATTTTTCTTTTCTTTTAAAATTATTCATTTGAGAGAGAGAGCGAGCATACACATGTGCCAGCAAGAGGAGGTGCAGAGGGAAAGAATCTCAAGCAGACTTGCCCCTGAGTGTGGAGCTGAATGTGGGGCTTGATCTCATGACCCTGAGATCATGACCTGAGCCAAAATCAAGAGTCAGATGGTTAACTGGCCACCCAGGTGTCCCTGTATGATTTTTCAAATACACAATTATTTTTAATATTGAATGAACTTTTTCTCAAAATAATACCCACAACTCTGACAAACAACCGCATTGAAGATGTTAATGAGAACTGTATGTGTGTGTGTGTGTGGGGGGTATATAGGAACTCTATCATCATTGTAATTTTTCTGTAAATCTAAACCTATTCTAAAATGAAAAATTTATTTTTATTTAAAAAAACACCCACAAGATTCTGATGTGAACCTTAGTGATCCATATCGTTGTAAAATAGTGGTCAATGTCTCTGGCACAGTTCTGGAGCATTTTCCCCTTGCAGTGACAGTATTTTTGGGCTAGCTTTTAAGTGAGACCGAGCATCAATTTCTGGTTCTACCACAATCTAGCTGCATGCCTTGACTTGGTTAACTAATCTTTCTGAATCTTGTTGTCTAATAATTCAATGAAGATAATAATACTTGAGGGTTAAATAAGCTAATATATGTAAAGCAGGTAGCACAGTGCCTATCACATAATAAATAGTTGTTAATATTGTCATTCGTACTGTCTCATCTGGAAATTAAAAATATAGTTAACTCTATCATTATCTTGTTCAAATTATCTGATCTCGTACATGTGCATATCATGGCTAGCTTTGCTAAATCAAGATACAAAGAATCCCTCCCCTCTCTCAGCTAAGACAATAAAAAAGGACTCCAAGGATTCTGCTATCAGACAAGCCCAAGAGAAGCCTGGGGGTGGCCAGAAAACCCTTTATCTCCATTCAAGTTATTTAGCATCCTGGTATTTTCTCATCTATAAAAATCATGACAAAATAATCGCTGCCCCAATCCCCCCAGTATTTTGGTGAAGATCACAGGAAACAACGTTTGAGTCCGTAAAATTGCCTTAAAATTTTGCGGTCATTAATATATTTAATATCGACTACATCTAATACTCATCACTTGTTATTCAAGGATCTTTATCTTTTCTAACTGATCATTTCTTTCTGTTTCTTTCTCCTCACTAATTACAAACAATGGGCTTAGCAATTTTTGATAGAATTTTGTTGGAGAATCACTGCAGGCTTATAATTCTAGGGGAACATTTTATAATATATGATCTCCTTTTAAGAAAGTTGTGCAAATTTTGCTGAGCTTTGGTTTTATAGCACCTCCTTTTATTGCAATATCCCTCACTACCACCACATGTGTGACTATTCTCATTTTGGGGATATGTAATTGAACAAAATTAGGTGCCTGCAATTCGCCTGAATTACTCAGTTATTCAGTTCAGAAGTTATAATCCACTTTGACTTACGTTCTTCTTACTTAAAGCAGGTTTGTTTTTTTCATGTGTGATGCACAGAGAGAGCATGCCTGTGGGGTAAGATAAACTTGAATTTGCAACCAGCTTGGTTCACAAATAACTGAAAATGAAGAACACAACATGCACATTGTAGTAGGGATAGCACTGAGATTAAAGATTATTTTGGTGATAGAAATAGATGACATTTATTGAACCCATACTTTTTAAGTCATGTATATACATTATCTAGGTAAACGTGGAAGTCAGAAGTAGTACTCCAGTGAGGTTATCTGCTTTCATTTGTCAAAATTCCGATTTTGAGAGCTTCCTCTCCTTGCATTCTCTTTTTTGTCTTATCTTCTCTCTGACTCATCTTTTCTCCTTTTCCTTTCCCTGTCTTGGAAATCTATAGTTCTAAATCCTACCTCCACCCCAGGTTTTTCTTTCCCAGAAAACTGAAAAATTCGTACTTTTCTCTCAGGGTTTCTCAAACTTCCGTTCAAACAGCAACTCTTCCTGTTGAGATTTAGGCCCCCACTGACATCTACCTGAGTCTCACTGTAGTTACTAACTTATTTTTAAAATTATATTTAAATTTTGTTGTAGAGACCTTTACTAAACACAGAGATATAAAATTTTAGTGAGGTCATGATAAGCAGAGTCCTTATAATAAGATAAGGTACATAAATATACAAAAATAGAAAGTTGTGTTTTTCTTTATCTAAAAGAAAAGGGTAGAATGGTTTTAAAGAAAGATTCTCAAGAGGACTGGAGAAAAGCATAAATCCCTCACAACCTCTTACAACAGATGATTGCTTTGAGTAATCTTAAACAGGCTTGGTACTTAAAAGCCCAATCTATGTTACATATTTTAACTTTTGCTGATATTAAGTGTATATGATGTCAGAGGAAATTTGATACATGTAAGGCCTACAGGACTGAGCCACAAATGTCAATAATATATGCACAATGATTTGCATCACAATAAACCTATGTCCCATTGGGCTTTGTCTTCTGTAATCACTCTAAAGAAGAGAAATCATTCTTGTTCAGGAATAAGGCACTCATTTCTATGGCATTCTAACTTTCCTTTCAACCTTACTGTATAATCAGTGTATGCTGACATGCAAAATCTTTGTTAAAAAAAAATCTTCTTTCTTCTTACTCGTTAAAAAAAAGCAGCATTCATTTCATGCTTGCGATCTTTTTCCTTATAATACTAAAAATTAAAGACGGCTTTCTTTATAAAGAAATGCACTTGGAATACATAGACCTCTGTCCTTAGGGACGTGAAAAAGGGGAAACACATACACCCATACCATGGCGTACACTGCAAATATTTAATCCTATAAATCTTCCCTTTGTACATATAGTCATACTCTTCTGATATAGAGGAATATTCACAACTGAACTGCGACTAGATGCAGAGGTTATCTGTTGTGTAACTGATTCATACAAAAATTTGTTTCAATCTGCAAAGAACTGTCTATCTCATGTAAGAAAAAATGCACATTATTTTCTAGAAGATTAAATTCTCGTAATGAACAACACTGGCCTCTGCTGGTAACCAAGGTCACGATGAACAAACATCCACCTTTTCTAGATTGCTGAAGGTGCTTCCTTTATCCAGGTAGATCTATACTCTCTTGGGATCGTTATTGCTCATTTGTTGATAAGGGAGCCACAAATTTATGAGGGCTCCAAGCATGCAAATCTCTAGCTCTAGCTATGGACTTAAACGGACCCAAAGTGTAGTGCTGGAACTTGCCATTTTTTCTGACCAAATACATTTAAACATTTCTGCTTCAATACCATCATTTTAAAAAATGATCTTTTCTTTCAACAACACACTGAAAGTAAGAAGAGAGTTGATGAATTTCAACTAAATTTTTAAAAGTAATAACTGTGTACAGAATACAAACACATATTCCTTTAAGTTTATTTGCTCTAGTTTCCAGTATGCATCATCTGATTCATAAAATACAACTGAAATTACTTGAATACATAGGAAAGCAACCTTGATTTTCATAGAACTATAAATCTTCTACCCCCAAAATAATGTGTATCCATGTGAAGATTACTGCCCAGAATTTTATGCAAATTTTTTGGATTTGTTCATCAATAATTCTGCAAAGAAAACCAAATTAATATTTGTATTTTTAAAATGTTGGGATTATTTTCTTTCACCGAGCAAATATAGAATGACTTTGCTAATGTATGCTAAAAAACAACAAACTAGAAGGTGACACATTTATCCCAATTGATTGAACGAGCTAACCCACTGTCAGTACAAGACAAGTTTCCTGCTATTGCCTCTGATGGGTCTTAGCCTACTCAGTGGGAACATTCTCTAGAACACATGGGCCAGTCTTTTTAATGTCGCCCGACAATCAACACTACTCAAGATCTGTAAGTTCTTGGCTCCCAGAAGTTCCCATCAAAGCACCTGGAACACACTTAAAAGATAAACAATTGAGGCCACCATAGGCTAAAATACTTGCCTACATTATCAGAGGAGTGAAGCAACAGAGATATATAAAGACTTACTCTTACATGCGTCCAAAGGGTCTTGGATTATTGTATAGTAAAGGATATCACAGGAGGAAATGTCAATACAGAAGGGACAGAAAATAACTCGTTGATATGGAATTTAACTTGGGGAGATAAAGTTTATTCATATAAAGACATGAAGTGTCTTATCAAAACCAGTAAAGGAGAATGCAATCCATTGTCATCAAAAGCTCAAATCACTGGCGTATAGGTCTACATAGAAATAGAAAAATGACTTAGTCATTCCTGACCTCAAACATATTTGAAATAGTGACCATGCATATCTCATGAGTCAGTGAATATTTTATAAAATATTGACACTTCACATGGAGTAATTCGTAGCTGTTGCTTCTTATTTCCTTCCTGTCTCCCTTTTTTTCCTACCTTCTTCTTCCTTTTTCTCCCCCAAGTACGTTTAAAGCAGGAAGTTCCAGGGGAAATCACTTTTACTACCTTTTTGAGAATCATACACTTCAAGCTGTATAAAACATCCTAACCTCTGCCTGAAAATATAGACACCATCTTAGGGAAGAATAACTACATCTTGTACACAAGTTGCCTTTCTGAAATACTCTCTTTTTCAATCCCCAAATACCTTTCTTGTCAAGATAGTGTAGCAGTGTTTGGAAAGTGTTAGCACACCAACAGATGCTCAGAATCAAATGACTTAATAGGCATAAACTTTTTTTTCAAATAATTGCAAAGCTTTGGGTTAGCCTTTTGCATACCTTGCATAGTTAATTACCTAGGCCTTAATGTTTACATGTAATGAGAGTATCTACAGCTATAAACTACATAATTTATAATTGATGTAAATGGGTGTTATTATGTCAATTAGGCAGCTGTGTCCTCCACCTCTTGGTAAACAGCTTTGAGTGATAAACTGAGTTTGCAGAGAGGTACCTTCTTTTCTTCATAACAGATAAAAATAAATTACCTAGGTAGACCAGGCTGTCCAATTGTTCTCTGGTGAGCTGGATGGGAAATCCAGACCCTTTCTTTTGACCTGTTGACTGCAGGAAATGGTCAATTTCGTCACGCAGCACTGCCATAGCTTCTGGGTGCTGTAGGAGGTAATACATCGCCCAGAACGTAGTTGGAATAGTGTTTGTCACAGAAGCCCAGAGAAAGCCTAAATGATGTGCTGGGAGAAAATAAGTGAAAAGGAAGATTAATAGCGTTTATTACACTGATTAGATTTGCAGTGTGCTAATTAAAAGATGTTAGGACACAGACCCAGCCAAGGATCAGTGCATGCTAATGAGGACCAATAGGCTTCTGAAGTCTAATTTTCTGCTTAATGAGAATAGTTTAAAATGTAATGTGCACGTGGGGGGTGGGGAGGTGGGGGATGAGATAAGAGAAGTAAATGCAGCTTAGTTATACTCTTTCTCATTATCCCCATTAAGTATCTTGTTTTACCACCTTAGAAAAAAAAAAAAAAAAAAGAAAAAAAAGAAAAAAAAAGAAAAAATCAATTATCACAGAGGGTTTTTCAGAGTAAAACATTTTATCACTAACCAATTAGAAAGAGCATAAAAATTTTCAAGGTCACCATTTTGTCTTTTTATTTCAAAGGTCTATTGTAAATTATTTTATTTTAGACAAGTAATCATTCAGAAGTTTCTTACCTCCTATTTCAAAGTCCTCAAGCGTATAGTATTTCTCCAGGATATCTTGCCTCATTTGAACAACTTCTGACCATCCCTGTGTCCTAGCTAAGTGTTCTGATGTCAAGCGTTTTATAAGTTTCTTTCTAATAGATTTGACATTTCCTAGAAGCTCTATGGGTATGTCTGATATTAAATATGGGAATTTGTCATCAAATTTTAAGAAATCATCTTTTAGCTCAGTAATAAATTTTTTCCTATTGCCAGGAAGAGATTGTCCATATATGGTTGTGAACGTGACCTCAAATATTACTGAGCTGCAGAATGTCAACAGGTATGCCGTGTCCCAATTTGTGGTTTTTAATAGCTGGAGTTCAAATACTTGTTTTAAATTCTGCATCATGTTTTCTGTGAGTATGTCCAAAGACGTCCCTTGTAAAAGATGATAGCAGCCATGAAGGTCATTGTTCAGGTCATCATTGGTTGCCAACTTTTCGATGGAAAATACTTTCCTTAATAGTTTATTAGTGAATATTCGAAAGCTTAATTTGGGACTTTTCATTACTAACTGGTACTGAGAAGGGTCCAGGATAAATGTTATATACTTGCCTAAAAGAAATAAATGAGAATATGAGCTCAGTTGGGAGCAAAACAAACAAACAACATACCTGAAATTTGAAAAGATTTTAATCAAAATTATAAAGACCTTAATAACTAACACCTAGAAAGGTGCAAAGTTTAATAAATATCCATTTCGTTCAAAGATTCCCCACGTTTCCTTTAAAAATGGAAGATAGTGGGAGAAACTCTAATATTCTTAAGTTCTGAATGACCTTTAAAAAGATACTCTTTTATTTTGGGGGGCGCCTGGGTGGCTCAGTCGGTTAAAAAGATACTCTTTTATTTTAGTTAAATACCCAAATATTTAAACTACCTTGAAACATCCTCAGAATCCCTTGACTTAAACATTTCTCATATTTCCCTAATAATACAAACAGAAAACAAACATCAAACAAACGAACATATCAAATTATTATTTACACTTCATGGAGAGCCATTTCATACTTCATATCATCTTAGCTTTGGTTGGACATGATAATTTTAACTCAGACAAATGGAGATGTGGTATGAAGCATATACTCACCAATTAATGTTTAATGTGACAAATACCAAATCACAACTGCCAGCATTTTCTTGTTTATAGATGAGAAAACAGTGGTTCGTGGAGATTTGGTAATATGTCCAAGGTTACTTACTGATTTGTGACTAAAACAGGATTCCAAACGAGAACCTGTCCATTCATGCATTCATCCCTCCATTCAACACTTACTGAGATTCAGATACTTGTTTGGATCTCTTTCCTCTTAAGAGAAAAAGATGTAAAGAAATCATTCTAGCAGAGGTGTGAACACAAGGTAAGGGAAGTAGAAAGTGAAATCTGCTTTGGTCTGCTGGGAGTTACCTATCAGCAAGAGTTCTTTGAAGTGGTGACATTTGGTCTTTTCATAGATCAGTGTTGTCCAAACTTACCCAACTAAGAGACGTAGGGTACTAGTTAAAAATACAGATTTCTGCCTGATTCTGATTCAGAAGGTTGAGATGTGGGACCTATGAGTCTTTATTTTTGATAGGGGCCTGAAGTGATTCAAGGCAGCATAGTGAGGAACATAGTCCTACTTTGGTAGGGCTCTCAAAACTGTCGGAAACTTGAAGAGTTCCCAGCTCTACCTTGCTCCCCGCAGAGCCTGGACAAGAAGACACTCCCCATGCACTGTTCTTTTCCTCACACAGGGCTGATTTCTTCTCACTAGAGTGCTGTTTTAAGACTCCTAAATAGAAGTATTATGCAAATAGTATTTAATAATGGCATTTAATAAATCTTTCTTTCCCAAGAACACACATTAAGTTTAGATGATCCTACAAAGTGTAATGCCTATTTATTGCCTTCTAGAAAACAACAGACATTAAAGTCTGTAGGATCATTCACATTTTCTCCTTCACTTTATTATTCCTCTGGTGTGTGTGTGCGTGTATGTGAGTGTACTTTCTTAGACCAACAACGCCTCACTTGTTATTTATTGTTAATTCAAACAGCATCACAGAAATTAAATTCAACGTGGTACAGGATTTAGAATAAGGTTTTGAATAACTTTCAACGTAATTCTTGAAACAGGATAAATGTGTTTTGGTTTTACAATTTTAAAACATCATTTAAGCTTTTAATATACATTCATATACATGTGCTAAGATTTTTTTTCTAAAAATAAATCATATGTCTTGAATTTTATTCACCATATTTCTCCTTGATTTATTTAATAAGGTGGGCCAATCTAGGAATGAGGGTAAAGCTAGAAGTGGCTATTCATTCTGGTCAGATCCCAAAGCTGCATCAATAAAGTAAACTGGATTTTTCCCCCTTAGCGAGAGCAAAAAGGACTCAACCGGATTGGAGCATATTTTATGACACCTGCTTTACCATAGCATCTTAATTAAATAAAATTGCCAGCATCTGCCTGACAAATAATTGAAAAAAAGTGAATTCTCTCATTCTGCAAAAGATATAATTTTAGGCAAAGCTATGTATTTTCACAGGTGGTGATTCATACTTTCCTCCTTTCACCAAATGAGAAGATTTTGCTACATATCTTTAGGGTTATTTTAAATTAGCCACTAAAATTCAGAGAATGTATAAAAGTTTCAGTTTGTAAAACATGCAATTTTTAGGGAATATTTTGAATTTTTCCTACTAATTTTCTACATTCATTAAAATCTAAGTGGAAAGATAAAACTATATTCAGCCAAGACAGCATGAGCTACTGGCCACTGGCCTACTGAAATAGAGGCTGTGTGAATGTGAGAGTTTTCGTCTACAATTCGTCACAAATACACATACATTCCCCTCTCTCTCTCCCCCTTGGGGGTAAGGATATGGGAAGAAACTATGAGATTCATTTCAATTAAAAGAAATAAAACCTAAATGTGGAAAAACTGGTTCCAGTTAGGAGCCAATTATTAATAGTTTTTTTAATGAGCAGTTATTACAGGTTCTTTTTAAAAAATCATTACTGATTAGTTAAAATCAATTTATTTGTAGATAAAATTCTCACTCGTTAAGGCTCTTTATACTCCAGAATCTGTATTTTCTCCTTCTCATTCTTATTTTAATTTCTTCAACCTCAAGGCATTGTGTTTTATTAACTATCTTTCTGAGTAAGATGTGGATTGCTTTAAAAGTAGACGTTTTCATTTTCCGGATTTTACTTTTCAAGTGGGTTTGGAAGTACTAATAACCCTGGAGATGTTAGTTGGCTTTCCAACTTTTAATCTTCAGTATAAACAATTTAAGCTAAGTTTTCCAAAATTAATATTAATTTAAACCATCTGTCCACCATCTGCTAATGTGAGATGCAAAACCAGAGTTTCTTTGTAATCTTTAATCAGACAGTTAGGAAAACACATATACATTCATAAAATGAATTTAAATTTCTTAACAAAGGAAATCTGAAAAGTTATTCTGAAGGCCATGTATTCTTGGAGCGAAATTAACTTTTTGCTCCAGTGTGATTTTATGTAAATGAATACCAAGTGTCAATAGGCAAGTTGCCTAGTTTACCAAGATCACAAGGTAGAAACAATATTCATTGTCATGTTTTCAAAAGAGAAAAGAATGCTGTCAGTAGTTGATATGAAATATTGATTTAAAGAATGTCAGAGTTTGCATTTGTCTAAAATAGAAATGTCAAAATGGGGCTCACTTCTGCAAAAAAATATAAATGTATATAATATGTAATATTATATATAATCATCTTTTTGAGCAGCAAATTTAAAATGGGGTCAAAATTTTTAATGTCTTCTTTGCCAATAATCTTATTCTCTTCCCTTTTCAGAGCTGACTGGGTCTTAAGATACTAACTCTAGAATTCCTGTATAACCTGCATATGATCCTTTACTAACTCAGCAGCCTTTTTACTTCTCTCCAAATTACTTCTTTCAGGAAGGTGGGGCTACATGATGCAAAGTACATCAGTAAATGTAAAAAAAGAAAACAAAATCATTCACCCCGATGTCTTATATACAAAAAGTTTGACTTCTGGATCATTATAAATTGAATTTTGATGTTTTCATCTCAGATATTTGGTGCTTTACAGAGGCAACGTCCATGGGAATTCAGAACAACTATTTGAGTACTTAGATTTAGAAATGCCTGTCAGCAAATATGAGATAAATTTGGATTTTAAAGAGATTTTCCATAATTATAAGCTTAGTTTGTTCTTCAATAGAATTTTTTAGAAGGTCAAGCTGAAAATACTCGTTGGAAAGTGGAATGAACCAACTTTTTATTTTATGAGGATGACCACATTACATACTCCTCCTCTTATTAGGGAGATTTCACTAGCTGTTGACAATGATGTACAGTGGTGCTTCGCTGGCATGACATCTAGGGAAGACGACTCTGCTACACCACCACACAAAACCAATTAGAGAACTATTTTCTGCGACAGGTCACGAATTTACGTGGTTTCTCCTGAAAAGATGTACCTTTTAATTTCTTTATTAAGATGACATCCATGTCCCTTGAGACTTTTGGGGATGACAATCATTTGCTCATCATGCAAGAACATACACTAGCGGAAATCACATTACGGGACAAGGGTGGAAGACTCTGGTCCCTCGTTTCACATTTTCCAAAGGTGCTATTTTGCAAACTGATCATTAGAACCACATACATTAACAGGATAACTTGACAGGAATCTATTCAAACTCTAGCAAGAAGCCAAAGGGAAGTGGTAGTACATATTCAATACCCGCTTGTGTACTGTTGAGTTCAAAAACATGGCCATGGTCAAATTATTTGGACATCAGAAATTCAGCAAGCTTCTTAGTGTCTAAGATTAAGATATCAAGTATCAGCAGAAATTGGTTGTTTTTTGAGCAGTGAATAAAATTATTCAACTCGCCACAAGTTTCTGCTTAATCAGCTTAGATTATTTTTGTATGATGTATTAAAAGGGAAAACTGAAAAGTTCACTAATTTGTTGCATCTATTCATAAATTTATTTTCTTTAAGTAAGAGTGACTTACTTTTTTAAGTGAAGAACAGAGTTTTGTTATTATGAAGCCAAAAGCTCACTTAGAATAAAAGCACCAGCTATGGCCTTTATTTGTATTATAGTAAGTATTTCATCAGCTCTAAGGTATTGGGAATATCCTCATCAAATATTTATTGTGAATCAATCAGTGCTGAGCTCTGGTCTAAATGTTGGCAATAGAGGAACTAAAGAATAATGAAGGGAAATAGACAAATGAATTAGCAATAAATTCACAGTTTATTAAATGCCATTACAGAGTGATACTGAGAGTAATGGGAACCTGGAGAAGAGGCATCAAACATAACCAGGGAGAAGAGATGGTCAGTGAAGCTTTTGGAAGAAAGAGATATGCGACTATGGCCTCAAAAGATGAATCCATGTCAGTCATCTTTTCAGGAGGACTCACAAAGAGAAGAACAGCACTCAGGCAGAAAAAAACAGCATGAGGAAACACAGGCACAAAAGGGCATGGTGTGTGAGGAGGAAATTTCAAACAATTTAGTGCATTAATAGTGCATTAAGGCAAGCAGTAGCAAGAGGTGACGCCAGAGAGGTAGGAGGTGCCCAGATCTTGGGAAGCCTTGTGGGGATTACACTACAATTGCTCTAAGATGCATGATTTTTTTTCCATTTCAATTTTTCTGAAATCAGAGCATTGGGAGAGACTGGCCAGGCAAAGGAGTAAGTTGTGAGGAAATGGATATTGCCTGTTCATGTGAAAACTCAGCCATGCTGACAATGTCATCCAGCTGGATCATTGTTTTTTCTCCCCATTACATTAAAATGGCGGCACTGAAATGAAGTTGCTCTGTGTACAAAAGGTTGCTTCTGATACTCAACAAAGTAATTACAGTAAGAAGAAATCACCTAAATTCTTTAGGAATAGAACAGAAAACTCCAAGGCTGGTTAGAGAAAGATGAAAAGGGTTGAGCAAAGAAAGGGGCATAAGTAAAGATGACCTAGATAAGGAATACTCAGAGTCAGTGAAAGAACCAGAAGGTGCAGTATCAATAGAGTGAAGGAATAGTGTTTGAAGGAAGAATGAGGGATCTGCATTGTCAGACCAAGTAGAGAGGTCTAGTCAGTGAAGGTCCATTAATGGCCGCAGCAAGGCACACAGAAGTATGGGCAGCAAATGTAGGAAACTCTCTTGAAAAACTGGGATGCAAAAGAGAAAAAAAAAAAAAAAGAAATGAAAGGTAACTAGAAGGAGAATAGAGGAGAAGCATGGTTTTAAGCTATAGGTAAGGACCCAAGAGAGAAAAGAAAAATGAAGATATATGTGTGGGAGGAATAAATAAACACCAGCCCTGTGGAGGCAGCAAGTAAGGGTGATGGGGACAGGTAATGGATTTTCTTAAACATTCTTTGAAATTAGAGAAAAGGTAGTGAGGAAAGTTGTGAGACACAGGGATATCTGGTAGATATGTGAGGGTCTGAGTGAGATCATACCTGATGCCTTCATTTTTCTTGGGAAGGAAAGGAAGGGGTGTGAACTGTTTTGCCAGAACCCAGTGAGAAATGGGGACCTGGAACACAGCCTTTCCTGCCCTCCCACCGGCATGCCCAGCCAGAAGTCAGAGGGCAAAGAAGTGAGGATAATCTAGTCTGTACAGATCAGACTTCTAGGACATAGGACATACAAAAGTGAAGAAAAGGAATAGCTAGCCCGGTGATAAGCTGATGTGGAAGACTGTGTGCTAAGATGGCCACAGTAAATTCTTTCTATCTCTACGTGTGCTCCTTTGCAATGGGACTCTGCCATGCTCCCAGGAAGTGGTGGAGTATATTTCCCTACCCTTGAGTTGGGGCTGGTCTGCAACCGCTCTGACTAATAAAATGTGGTATAGGGGCACCTGGGTGGCTCAGTCGTTAAGCGTCTGCCCTCAGCTCAGGTCATGATCCCAGGGTCCTGGGATCGAGCCCCGCATTGGGCTCCCTGCTCAGCGGGAAGCCTGCTTCTCCCTCTCCCACTCCCCCTGCTTGTGTTCCCTCTCTCGCTGTCTCTCTGTCAAATAAATAAAATCTTAAAAAATAAAAATAAAAATAAAAAAATAAAAAAAATGTGGTATAAATGAGGTTTTGTAATATCTCAGCCTAGGCCTCAGGGGGCTTTGCAGCTTTTCTTCTCACCCACCTGAAACACTAGCTGCCACGTAAGGACATCTTGAGAATGAAACATCATGTGTACAAGGAGGCCCAGCCAGGCATGTATGTGATGAGGCCATCTTGGAACATCCAGTCCCAGTTAAGCAGTCAGATGACTCAAGCCACAAAAGTGACTCAGGTAAGACTGGTTGCTTTAAGGCATTACATCTAGGGGAGGTTTGTTATGCAATGATAGCTGATACAGCTGGAAAACATGGGCCTTCAAGGAGGATGAGTGAAGAACGTCCCAACTTTTCCTCTCAGCCCTATGATGTTGGGATGTTTAGTGATCTTGCTGCCGTTTTCTTTTTTCTTTTGTAAGCATTTTATTGAAGTTAGAAGCATAATAAACTTTTTATTAAAATTAAAAATACATTCTACAGCAGTGGTTGCTAGGGGCTCAGGTTGGGGGGAAGTGGCATGAATATGTGGAACACAGAGGAATTTTAGGGCAGTTAAACTATTCTCTATGATAGTGAATAATATCCATTGAATGATGGATCCATGACACACATTTGTCAAAACTCGAAGAACTGTACAACACAAAGAGTGGACCCTAATGTAAATCACAGACGGTTAATAATATACCAACACTGGCTCATCAGCTGCAACAGAGTATGGGATATAATAAGAAAAATTCTGATCAAGGGAAACAGGATATATGGGAAATCTCAGATCTGATCAATTTTCTTTAAACCTAAAACTGCTCTACAAAATGAAGTCTGTTAATGCATTCTAGCTTTTTTTTTCTCTTTTAATCATTCTTAAAATCAGACCAAGCCAAACCAAACCAAAATCACAGGTGATGGCAGGAGAGTAGGGTTCCCTAGGTACCCTCAAGATTTTTATAATTAAATTTTTACTGTGAAAATCACTGTATTCAAAAACATAGTTTTCTTTTGTATTAGTCTACAAACAAAACAATAATATAAATATTCCATATTTTGTCTATAGAAAAATGTAACAACTTAAGGAACAATGGGGAACTTATGATTTATGGAAGGTACTTATGGAAGTGTTGCTTACCTCCAAGGAGAACAGTGAAAGTGTCACCATGTTGCTTTTGAAGAGTTTTCATGAAACCTAAAGGATCCTTTTGTAATTTCAGGGCCTCTCCAAGGTAAGGAAGCCAGCCTTTTATCAGTGGAGGCTCACCAGGTCTCCTATAAGAAAAATAAACAAACAAGAAAAAATGAAATCCTTATTTTAATACATAAGGGTTATTAACCCAGCCTAGAAGTGAATGGATGAATTACACAACTTTTTTCAATTATTTTATTTAATGATTATTATATAATCATAGATATGAATTTATTGAGTCCCACCAGTATGTGACTTTGGGGTAGACAGTTCAATTCACAGCTTTTGGTGAGCAACGTTTTTGAGAAATTGTATCTTGTAAGACCCAAATGGCTGGCTGAAATGACAGCTACAGTCAGTAAACATTTTATGTATGAGAGCTCTTGCTGAGTGTTAGATGTCAGGTAGTTTACTCGCCAAAGTAAAGCTCTTTGTTATCAGATGTCACTTTAGACTGGAATTGCATAATTAGAAGAGGAGCAGTTAATAATCTTGAAAAATCTTTTATGTTGTTGAGAACAATAAAAAGCTCAACATTATTTCCATGAAGTATATCTTGTTGTATTCTTTCATCGAGTTTTTTATTCAAATTACGAAGGACTAGGAATATTTGTTAAATTTTACAAGACAACATATGAAACACGTTCAGTGAAACACTGAAATACTGTGAATTAAAAAACAAGTTTCTTCTTTTTTGACCTATAATCTTAGCAAACCTGGACTTCAAAATTTCTTCTTCTTCATTTATTTGGTGAGCTCAATCTGATTTAAAGTAAAAAAAAAAAAAATCTAAAGCCATTTTATCCTAGAAGGGATTAAAACAAATATTCAAAAGAACTCTGATGATTCTCTATCCCATCTGTGAAGATGACTTACACTATAGGCAGTACAACCCATTCTGATTAATCACAAGATATTACTAGCTCAAGACCCAATCAAAAATCAAGATTATGATCATACTCACCATGGAATTTTATGTGGTTAGATTAACCCTATCAAAAGCTTTTATTTTCCCACAACTCAACATGGTAGAATTAAACTTAAAAAATAAACATCAGATCTTTTGGGGGAAAAAAATAAACTAACACAAAATAAACCCAAGGTATGATAGAAATAAAGGAAACAGGTATCAAAATTCTCCTTTCTGTTTTTAGAAGACAATTGATTTTTATACTAATTTACATATCTGTGCTATTATTTAAATATATGTACTTAGAAATGGGAAGACAAGAAACATCACATAAAAATGTGTATCTTCTGCTTCCTCCCCTTCTCTGTTATTTTCTTAAATGCTAGCTCTACCAATGGAGACTTGCTTTTTTGAGAAATACAAAAATGTACCAAAAAGTACAGTAATAGTTAATTCTATATCCAAAGATTAAACAAGAAATGACATATATTATTGTAGAGTAGGATCTCTTAAGTCAGAAATTGCCATAGCATGCAGGCTCTCAATCAATGGCTTTCAAATTTTGCAAGTGATCTTAGATCACAAAATTTCTTTTCAAAATATTAACTCTCTTCCTTGGTCTATTTTTATTCTGCTTTGTTTAATGTTGCTTGGATGTTGCATAGTGACAAAGATTTTGAAAGGCTTTTTGTCATATCATAATTTAATGCAACTAATTTCATCTTCTATGCTCTGTCATTTGGTCAAAAGCTGTATTCTTCATGGATTTCCGTGGGGGGAAAGGATGGAACTCAGAAATCCAGGGGAATATTAAGTTAATGTTCAGAGTTAGGGAAACACATTAGGAAGCAGTTTTATTGTTACAAAGATGAGAGGATCATCATTTCTTACAGCTGTGTTCATTTGGCAGCAATGAGCTTAAAACTATGAAACACCATGTCACAACCGCGTATTTTCAGGAAAAAATATAGTGCTATTTCAACTTAAGACCCATTGAAGATGGGCAACAGAAATCTGTCTTCATCAGTATATTTGTAAAAATTATTTAGAGAGGAAAGACATCATCATAATGGTCCAGAAAGACCTACTGACATATGGCACAGTGCAAATACTGCTATTTGTCTCTCTCATGCTCTGTGACTTTGAAAATGAAATGTCCACTGCCCAATGCTGAGTGAGGGGATGGGATGCCTAATGCTTGTTGGGAATGATCAAGTTCCAAACTTAAAAGGAACAGGTTCTAAAGCAATGGTGGGCAACTAAAAACAAAGAAAAACAAAAACAAAGAACACCCAGAAAACAAAAAAACAAAAATTGTGGGCCACACCCCCTCTCAATCCCACTTGAACAGTATACACTTCCTCAAATATCCTCTTTACTACTTAAGACACTAACAGGACACATCTTGTAAGTAATACATATTAAAGCTTACAAAGTTTCTTAATAATTAAACCCAAGTTCTATGCATAAACAACTATCACCACTTGCAATTTCTTCCATACGAATAGTGGGACACATCTTGAAGTTTATGAAAAATGTCAAGTACGGTCCAAATTTACCTGCAAGCAAATAGTGGAGAAGAGCCTAAATACATAAAATGGCTATAAAACATAAGAGATGTTTTAGTTTTCCTTTGGTTAAAAAGAAGCATATAAGATCTGAGGAGGTGAACCAACATAGAATACTTCGTTTTTAATAATAGTTGCAGTTTGTCTTTATGCTATACCTTTAGTTAAATAAATAGGGAAAAGGTTTGGCTAGTGACCTATCACACATCATTCCCTGAGACATTTAAAGCCCAGCATTTTCCACAGCAATCTATACATGTCAAGTAATTTCTTCTATTCCACTTTTCCTGGGAGCATTCTAGGCTAGGAGTCCGAGTTATTGTAACAACCTTCTAAGTAAGTGGTGAGCAATCTTTATACATGTACACCAATTCAGGAAAAAAAAATTATGTGTTGATTAAGTTTCTGAGGACATAAAATATTTGTATTAGGTCATCTAATATCTGTAACAGTGCCTTAATAATTTTTTTAATTTTTCCTAATTAATATTTTCTTTTGTATATGTGTGGTTAAAATGTCAGATACTACACAACTGATGTGCAATGCAGTAGCTGATTATAATAGTGACCTTTTGAACAAACTTTTGGTTGAGCAAAGAACTTTTGAAGCTGCCCTTCTACCTTTCCTGGACTTACTTTAGAAGCTACTTAATTGGAAAATATAATTTGGTTCACACTGTCTCTTAGAACTGTACTTTTGAAATGTTCTCTATTCTTCCACTCTTCCTTGGCTTCAATGCAGGCATGAGGAGGAGTCAGTCGGTAGAAGGCATGGCAGAGTCTTGGCATACTGGCAGCCTCTGTGAGAGCTCATGTGGGGCCAAGGAAGCACAGAACCACATGATTGCTTTGCCTGGAAGCTAGGAGGGATTACCAAGTGGGGACACTTGAGTAAAGGATGCAGAGATGGAGGATCACCCTCAAAGTCCTGTCCAGGAGGCACACTGGGAAGCCAAAGATGACCACATGAACATCTGTACTACAGGACTTTCCAGATCAACAGAAAGGAAGGGGAAGAGTTCTCCTCCTAAATCTCATTTAATGTGTGTGTATGTGTGTGTGTGTGTGTATATATATATGAACAAGTTTTAAACCCAAAGTGACTGGAACTACTTTTCACTAGAAATAGTGTTTTCTGTCTTCAGCAGAAATCAGTTATAGACAAATAAATTTGTGCACATCTAAGACTGGGAAATTTTAAATCCAGCATACAAGTTATGTAGACACCCAGTTGTTGTTTTAACTTGAAAATGAGAATGATAATATCAACCTTAGAGGTTTACCATTTCAGACTGAGAGAGAGTCTTTGAAAATAGCTAGTATACAGAGCGGGATCAGTTTTTCCAACTATTCATACATTGTAAGTAGTTGCACATAAGTGGTTTTGCTCTCCCATTCTCTGTATGAACGGTTTTATTTTTCAACCTTCCTTGTTATCTATATAAGGAGTTTGGAAGGCATCACTCCCATCTTCACCACAAAAAAAAAGCTGAACAAACTGAATATCAACAAGTCCTCTTAGATTCATTAGAGAATTGATGCTGCAGGGCAAACCACTGCCCTAAAAGCTATAGAGACAGGTGAATACAGAAAATCATAGCTTAGTGGGAGCAGAAGCTGCTGCTGCAGCCTTTAAGAAAGACACTGAAAAGGTAATTGACTAATTGCTGGAGACTGAGCAAGGACTAATTTGTGATATAAAATCTCCTAAGGGCCCAGACTTATTAGGGCCTTCACAGTGCTCACACAAGGAGAAATAGATAATCTGAATTAGTGTGCATTTACCAAATAAATTGAGTCAATAATTTATAATCTTCTAAAGCAGAAGGCACCAACTCTAGATCTCACTGGTGAATTTTATCAAACATTTAAGGAAGAAATATTACCAATTCACTCTAATCTCTTCCAGAAAATAGAAGCAGAGAAAACACTTCCTAACTCATTCTATGAGGCCAGCATTACCCTAATACTAAAGTAGACAAAAACATCACAAAAAAGGAAAATTATAGATCAATAAACATAACATAGATGTGGAAATCCTCAACAAAATAACAGTAAATTGAACTCAACAGTGTATAGGAAGAATTATACATTAGAAGCAAGGGAAATTTATTCCCGGTGTGTAAGGCTGCTTCAACATTCAAAAATCAAATAATGTAATTAATGTAATCCATTACCTCAAAGGGATAAAGAAGAAAAATCATCTGATCATGTCAATAGATACAGGAACATCATTTGACAAAATCTAACACCTATTCATGATAAAACTCTCAGCAAACTAGGATTAGAGGAAACTTCCTCAACTTGATAAAGAACATCTACAAAAAACCTTAATGCTAACATCATACTTAATAGTGAGGAACTAGATACTTTCCTGCTAAGATCTGAAACAAGGCAAAGATGCCCCCTCACCGCTCCTATCTGACATTATACAGGAAGTCCTAGTTAATGCAATAAGACAAGAAAGGGAAATAAAAGGTATACAGATTGAGAGGAACTAAAACTATTCTTGTTCAGATGACATGATTGCCTATATATAAAATTTCGAAACAGCAACAAAAATACTCTTCTGTAACTAATAAGAAATTACAGCAAGGTAGCAGAAT